CCCTTCTAAATACTCATAAAAACATGATGGGCAATAATGAGATGGAAAAAATGTGGATAAGGAAGACAAACTTCTAACAATCTAAAAAATGTAGCATGAGATAGTTATTCCCCTGCATTTTTGTGATTTCCAAGTTCTATCAGAAAACTTATTAACTTATCCATGCTAATTAGACATGTTATAGTGCAGTTTACAAGTTCAAAAAGACACATACAAGAGCCCAACTGATGTTTTCTACAAGATATACAGAAAATGAGGTTCCGAAGCTAATCATGGTCAAGAAACCCAGTTAGAAGAATACAATTTAAGATCAGGAGACACAGACACAAAATGTTGTCTTTTATGCTGACTTATAGGCAATCAGCTAACTTGGAAAAGAAAGAACTTTTATCCCCCTTTTTCCAAATATAACACGATCAAATATGCCATGATAAAAGAAGAGAACAAAAATCTCAACACAAAATTCGAATATGTACCAATCTAGCAAGGGAATAATAACAATTTCAAGAACAAGGCTGCTTAACAACACGTCTGAACATACTAAAAAGAACAAAATAAACATAATTTCGACATTCCATAGCATAATTATGCACTTTNATCAAAATACAGATCTTTATACATGCAGCACAGTGAATTTCTTGTTAATCAATTGGTGTCATTTAACCTCAGTTACATAATTAGTAAGTACATATAAAAAAAAAAAAAAATTGATATAATTGAAAAAATGTGGGAGAAACTGCATACCACAACTCCCCTGATCTTTCACTCCAGTAACAGCCCCTTTCTCCCTCCAATCCAAGGAAGAAGGGATATCAGATTCCCTCACAAGATCGGGCCCTTCAACCGAGCCCGGCCCGCCTTTAAGCCTGATCAACAAATCCCTCCCAGAAGGCGACAGCCCCAAGTACCTAGCCTTAAACTCATGGTTAGTGAGATCAGCAAAGGCATTCAAAGAAAGGGTGTAAGAAGAATTGGCCCTCGTATTGTGATGGGTAACAAATTCATAGTTTTTCTCGAACACTTTGAGCCTGTGCTGTCTTTCTTGGTCGGAGCTGTATGTTTTCCCATACTCTTTGCACCAGACATCAAAAAGATCAGAAATTGACGAGGATTGGCAAGTGGGTACATGGAAAAACAGAAGAATAAAGTGCAAAAAGTACAATAACCAAATCATTCTAGTCGGAGGATTCCAAAATTTCTTTTTTTTTTTTTTTTCTTTGGAAAGTCAGATGAAAGGCCGACAATTCAACTATAAATTCATTTATGAAAAATCTTAAGAGATATTTATTAATATTTATAAATTAAAAATATTTATTAAATAATATTTATAAATTAAAAATATAAAATTAATATTTAATACAATTTACTTATATTAATTTATTAAAAATATTATATGACATTTTAAATTGTATAAAATTATATAAAATATGTCTTTAAAATTAGCATACAACCCGAATAGTGCACGTAACTAGACATGGCCACCGGGTCAACCGGCCCGCCGACCCGGCCCGTACCCAGCTCAGTCAAACCCGTTGACCATGGATCCGGGCCCGACTCGGATTGCTAACGGGCCGGTCCAGGGCTTTCATTTTGTCGACACCGACCCGACGGGCTGGACCGGGTCCGGGCCGGCACGAAAAAAACATGTTGTTTTTGAATTTTTTTATTTTATTTCTTTTTTTTTTTTAAATTTTGGTGGGCCAAACTCGGGTCGGGCCCGACTCGGCCCGCCGGTCCATGGACCCAGCACGGATTTAGGGCCGGTTCAGGGTCGACTTAACCCAACCCTTCGGCCCGCCATTTGGCCATGTCTACACGTAACTGACATTAAATTAAATTATCTTCATTTCAAAATAAGTGTCATTTTAAAAATTTTAATCAGAATTTCGATTTGACTACAATGTGATTCTATAAAATAATTATTTTGGTAAAATCTTATCTTATATTTAAAAATGTATGTGAATAATAAGTATAATTATAAAACTTAGATTGTGTCATTAGTTAAAATAAACTAATTTTTGTATAAACTATCCAAGATCTGGTGCAGCAAAGTATAATTATACTATTTTTATGTCTTAAAAAGTTCTTAAGAGTTTAGGTGAATACCACCCCTTATAACTACCCTTTTACTACAACATTAAAGCATAAAATATAATACACTATGTTGTAGTTATTTTTACCGGAGTAGAATCAAAAGATTCGAACACCGGGTCGTATCTCAAGGAAGGTCAGCCGGATTATTTGTACGGATATTCTATCACACGAAAAAGCAAATAAATTCCTAAACACTCTAATTCAAAGATTTTGGTTTTTAAATATCAACTGCTAATGCTCGATAGCGCAAATAAACAATTATCAAAGCTTAAAACGAGTTCCTTATACGTACGAAGGCTAGGAAATCGGGGATGATTAAACCCAAATCAAGTTCAAAATGCTGAGTAGAATACGTTCAGCTAAATGATTCAATTAACCTACACATCTAGAAATTATTCCTCAATAACATCTCGTAACAAGAGGAAAAATATAGACGGCACATCAACCCAATCAATTAACACGTAGGCAATACAATTACGAACAAGCCTACTCTAGTCGAGCCTAGATCGACCGACTTCTCCCCTTTCGGTTCTACAAGTCGATTAATTAGATCAGAATGGTGATCAAGCATCTAACCCTAGGTTTAAATCAACTCGAATAGATTGAACGAAATTCATAAACACAATAAGCACACGAGTATGAGTAATCACCCCCTATCCCTAGCTTA